ACAACTTTAAAAATTATAAATAGACTCCTTATTCAGAAATTCCCTAATTTATACACAATTAACAATGCACAACACCATCTTGCAACCTGTAACTATCTAAGCTCTCCAATACTTTCTTACTATTTGGAGACAAGACCCCACTGCTCAAAATAATTTAGAAATTTGTTCCCAAAGTATTTTTTTGTGGAATCCTAATGACCCTAATGATACTAATGATATTACTATGCTAGTAAATACTGTAGTAGACCCCTCATCCGAACCTATCAACACGGATACCCTCTTGGATACCTTTTTAACTGAAGAACCAGAAATTGACCCAACCTCAACTACCACTCCTCCCAAACCAGAAACTGAACCAGACACTGAAGTTTACCAAAAAGTTCAAGACGAATTAACCTAAACCTTAACTCCTCAATCAGATACTCATCCGAACTCTTTTATCAGTAGAACTTGGAAAGACCAACTAACTAAGATACTATGACAATTAGAAGACAAAGGATGTACTCGACCTAAGCAGATAAAAATTATCAAAGCTTATTTATACTTAGGAATTCCCATCCAGAAACAGACCGATAAACGACCCCAAATTCGTGAACTTCTCCAAGCTTCTCAAGGCTCTCGAAAGGCTCAAGACATTTGGAAAGAAGCCACTCGTCTTCAACAAATCTTTAGTATTTGACCTAAAGAATTGTTGTATCAAACCCGATACTTTACTGTCACCCACGTTGTTAAGTTTACTGATAGAGAGTATTAGTCTTTAATTAAGAATTTGCAGAGCAAATTTTTATAAGGGGATGGAAATGTTATAGAACAGTTTTATTTTATTAGTTTATTATTTTTTTTTTTTATATTCGGCGGTCCTGCCTCATTGCTTTTATTGGAAGTACCAGGAAGCTATTACAACAGGAGGTAATAACATTTCTATACTATATTTCTATGCTAATAAGACTCACTCGGCCCAAGGCCCAAGTGCGACCCTACCTAGCAGCAATCAATTTTACATTGGATCCTCAACTTACTGAGGATTTGTGCCTTCCGATCATGAGCCATAGCAGCTGCGTGCTTTATTAAGTAGCCAAATACAAAAATACTAACGAAAGGAAAAAACACAGAGGTATAGGGGATCACGTTAAAATATACAAGCAAGAAAGAAAAAGGAAAATCAAAAAGAGAGAAAAAACAAAACAAAAAGAAATTTGTCTATCCTAATGTCACTATTATAAGCCCGTAAAAAGCTTTAAAAAATTATATACTACTAAATAAACTAGTCTCTACTCTAAAATTTATCTAAATAGTATATTTAAGTAAAAACTCAGTAGGAAACTTCTTCGATCGGAATCGTATAGGGAGGTCGGTACTTGATAGTAGTCTCGGAGTATTGTTTGATCAGATTGTTGTATTCGAGGCACGTGCCTTGACGTGTTTGTTGTCCTGTTGTACCGATTTAGAAAGTAAACAATACCGACTGTTTTTGGTGCATGTGATGTCGATCTTTTGGAGGGGGTAAACTGAAACGCCCACTTTTTACAAAAAATTCTCGAAAAAAAGTGGTGGGCCAACAAAAATATGTGAGGTTCTTCTTGTAAGAGTTACAGTTGTATAGTCCAGTTCCTCAGTTTCTACTTAGTATTCCTGTCCATAGACCCATAGTGACGTTGCTTCCAAAATATCCTTTTGGTTTAGATGTCGAAAGTGCGAAGGAGTCCACTAAAAGCTTGACCTAAAGGCACAACCCACTTGTTGTTTATACGCCCGCTCCTCGGTGTTTCACATATACAAAGTTTTGACAACAGCAAGTATGTTTGTATAGTACTAGGAATATTTAGGTGTCTACTTTGTTGCTTTCCTATATTATTTTTCTGTAGTTCAGTTTGTTTTGTTGTTGACCAAGGGATCATCAGAAAGAGTTGTGAGTAGTACTGCTTGTTACTTAAAGAATTTTGTGATGTTAAGCTAGTTTTTAACAAGATAGATCATTAAAGTAGTATTATAAAATAAGATTCTGGTAATACACTATATGAGAAAATACAAATTGTTTAGCTAATACTACTATACCAGAAAAAACATTAAGTCCTGAAGTCAGCAAACCAGTAGTGATAGCAAAAACTTGGCTTAAGATATGAGTTAGTAGTACCTAGGCAGATAAGTAGAAGAGGATTAACAAAGAAGTATACTTTCAAAAAGATGAGTATTGTAGGTCTTAATTGGATGTAAAAAGTCTATCCTTGTCAGTATAATATCAACTCTGTCATGTAATTAATCTAACTAGGTAGCAAGTTTCTGGCTTGAGATACAAGCTGTAAAAAAGCTACCTTCACTAGCTATGGTTATACTAATAAAGACCTTAGAAGAACTAGTGATAGATCATGTTTATAGACAATATTGTTAATGAATATAGACATGGACATGAACAGTCTATGGACATGGATAATTAATATTCATAGACAAATGAAGGACATATCTATATTCATGGACATAGTGTTATTCATAGACAATTAGAATTATTACTGATTAGCCAATAATATTCTTGAACATTTGGACATTGTCTATAGACAAATGTCCATGTCTAATAATTTGATTAGATATTTATTACTGATCAGCTAATAGCATACTTAAATATTGGATATCATCTATAGACAAATATCCATATTTAATGATTTGATTAGACATTTGTAAAATACATTATTAGGCTGCAGATAATTATGTGGATATGAACACTGGACAATGTTCATAGACTATTCATGTCTAATACTATAATCTTCTTAAACATATATCCATATACATTACTATTTACAGGTATACCAAATTAGAAGTTCATTAGAAGCGAATACCCAATATACCAAATTAAAAGTTATAACTAATGTTAGTGAATTATGGGGGAAATATAGTACAGAGGAGTACCATATTATTGTGGATACTTTTTAAAAATTTATAATGATCTAAATAAGCAAAATATCAAGTTCAAAGTTATATAAAAAATTGCTTAAATTTAAGGCTTTCAAATAAAAAAAATTCATAAAATTCTATATAATAGTTGTTGAAATAATTAATATTATACAAAATTGTATAATGTTTTATAAAGGAGAAAATAATAATTATACAAATTTAGTTAGATTAATTTTTTTATAAAATAACAATTTTTTTTTTTATAGTCAAGGTTAGCCTCTTTGGCTTTTTCACTTTTATTAGATTGTAGAATCATGTAGTGCCTTTATCAAGAAGCCTCAAACAAGTACATTCTGACGAGTGTATATTCTAACTATATCTGCACCTTTTGAGCACCTAATTTAAGTAGTCTGCCTATTACTAGATCCTACACTAGATGCTGTATCTGTAACCTACTATTATTTAGATTACTTGATAACCTCTCTGATCTGAGTTTCCTATGCCAATCTATCTAATCTCACCTGGAACATATGATACATTAGTTAGTCCAAGTTTTAAAATCATTGTGAACTATCTATAGGACTACTGGCTTAATTAACTAATTCATCCGCAAGGTCATCACCTGCTAGAGCAGTCTGGTGCCTACTATTACTGTATTATCTAGTCTATTTTGATAACTTATGCCGAGTCTGAGAACAAGTACTTGCAAGCCGAAGCCATTACTATTACTTATTTAGACCTTGTAGTATTCATCCAAACTCTGGTACTTCCCCTTCAAGACAACCTGGCACCTTCCTTTTCAGTACCTCTAGCTGGTCTCTCCAGACTACCAATCTAGATAGTCTGGATGGAACACTAGTCTCTTGGGATTTG